GGTATAAATGGGGCCCAAGAGTATACACAGCTAAACATTTTTACACCCTGCTCAAAGTTTATTTAGCTAGAAAATGATGAGTGTGTGCCATATCCTCAAGGAGTTTAACTAATGACTAAAAAGCAAATACTATAATTATCTGCAATACTATCATTGTAAAATGTCTTCAGATAACATTTGTTAAGACTTGGCGCTATATAAATAAAGGTTGGTTGATTGATAACTTCCTGAGCAAGAAAGCTCTACACAGAGAAGACGCTGCTAAGGTCCAAAATCATTTTGAACACAGATGCAGTGAAATGGTCAGTCTATTATCCTATGAGACCCCCCCATAGAGACCTCTGAAAGTTATAAGTATTACACACCCAAACAATCTGAACAACCTCAGCCAATTGACGATGCCACCAAATCAAGACTTCTGAGCAGAAAACAAATGCAATCTAAAAAACAGAACTTGAACGTTCAATCATTTTATTGAAATCCACACAAAACCCCAAAACCCCAAGTCCAAAATCCACAAGTGTTCTGAAAGTTTCCTGCTTCTTCTGTCTCTGAGTCATTCCCTATCTTTTAGTAGAATCCATGAGTAAATGGTAAATGGACTTGAGCTTGTATAGCCCTTTTCTAGTCTCCTGATTACTCAAAGCGCAATTACACCGCATGTCACAGCTACCCATTCACACGCTGATGGCAGTGATTGTTATATAAAGTGAGCATTAGAAGTAACTAATCCCATTCATACACATTCATACGCTGCCGATGAGGCAGCAGGAGCTATTCGGGATATAGTGTCTTGCCCAAGGACACATTGGACTTGTTGCTGCAAGAGCTGAGGATCGAACCGAGAGACGACCGACTCTACCATCTGAGCCACAGCCGCTCACCGGGTGTTTTGGAAGAAGAACAAGACAGGCTTTGCACTGAAACTGTGTTTTCATTTTGCATACCACATCCCTTTCTGTGTCCTAGAGTCCCTTTACTTGACTGGTCCTCGGTTTGTGCAATAGCCATAGGTGTGTGGTTAGATAGATAGATAGATATATAGATAGATAGATAGATAGATAGATAGATAGATAGATAGATAGACAGATAGATACTTTATTGATCCCGAGGGAAATTCAAAGTATTGTATTGTATTGCCTCTCCCCTGAGCTAAAGTCAAGTGGCATTCCCATTAGCTGATCTGCCTATAGCTGATGCAGATCATTATGAGTGTGTTTCAGATGAGCTTGGTGAGGTTCCTGGAGGGGATATGGCTCGCTTCTCCTCCTCTGTGGTATTTGCTGGGATGTTGAAGGTTGGGTCTCTGGGACAGAGGGTGGAGAGGGTTCGCTTTTAAAGGTGGTGAGCTATGATGGAGGGGATACTTCTGGCTGGTCAGGGGGAGATGGCCATCCTCATATTCATTCAACCTGTTGTTGATCATCATCATGCACCCTATAACATGTAAAAATAAATACATTAATACAAGTACTATTTGCTGGGTTATAAGCTCAGTATCTTTGTCAAACACACAGAGACAAACTTCCTCGGAAGACTAACACCATCCCTCCATTTGTTCACCCACAGAGGAGTTCTGGGATTGAATTTACTAAAATAAACAACATACAGTAGTAAAAGGCGTATTTCAAATAACTGTTACCCTACACTATTCTACAACAGTAGTGTGTTTATTTTACACAGTATAAATGGCTTCAGCATGCTCTGATGATAAGTACAAGAATCAGACAGCTTAATCAATACAGGGTAATGGTATGTCTGTCTGGATAATTTGTTACACAAATGTTTTCCTATTTAGCAAAAAGGCAATATTTTGAGTAATCCAAAAATTATATTTGCATATTCCATGGCTTTCACCATCCATTACAATTTAGATCATTTGGAAATAGCAGTACTTACAAGAATCTCCTCTAATCCTCTGAGAATTAGGACTCGGGCGCAGATCGTCGTCATTTTCCTCAACAACCAGGATTTGAAATATCAGCTCCACACCTCAGCTCTGCTAAGAATTCTGCTTGCCGCCTTGTTCCTTTCTATATTTTAAACTTTGATCCACTCATCGCAGTAAACAAGTTCAAGTTCAGGATTATTTATTGGCATGAATGATAAACAACTTTTGTTGCCAAAGCAAAGTTATCAAAAAAAATGAGCTGCTGTTGGTGCATTCCATTCACCTCGGAAGTCAAATGTTCGAGCTTGGAATGACGTCACACTCGAGGTGACCATGGAGTTCTGAGTTAGAGTTTTGAGGGAATGCACTATTAGTGTAATTATGTTCCCCGGCTTGCCGACTTGACATCATTTTTGTCCTCACATGGGGGGCGAAATATGTTGTTGTAATATGAAGATACTTTTTATTAATTCAAGTATTGCACGTCAACTTTTTGCTCAAATATAACGCGTAACAGTGACACTCCACACATTTTCTTCATAGTATGCACACTGTTTTTTGCTGTTGTTACAACATTTGACTTTCCAAACTGAAAGCACATTAACACACTGAAGTCGGAAGAACGACTTCCCAACTTGGAAACTGGGACAATCCGAGGGGAACATGAATGCAGAAAAAAACAACACGGGTCTAAACCATGTCTCAGCACTCTGATTGGCTGCAGCAACCACCTGAAGAGCCGATAGGAGTGCTGCATTTATGTGCTGCTCCGGTGGTCCAAGTTTCTAACTGGGAAGTCGTTCTTTCGACTTCAGAGTGATCACGTGATTTTAGTTTGGAAAGTCGGAATGTTGTCAGAACAGCAAAAAAAAGCGTTGCTACCAAAAAGATCTGTGGAATGTAACTGTTAGAGTTATATTTGAGCAAGAAGTTGATGTGCAATACGTGACTTAATAGAAAGTATGTTAACGTTAACAAAACATATTTTGCCCCTCATGTGATGACGCTTCTGATGTCAAGTCGAGAACTCAGGCACCTAATTCTTTTCCGAGTTTCCGAGTCGTTGTTCCGACTTGATCCAAGTGTTCATGTACATTTTACAACTCGGAAACTCGTTTTTACAATGTGTCCGACAACACATGAATGCAGCAATCATCAATGATCAACAAAGATGGTGGATTAAATTAAGATATATAGATGCACTGCGACTGATTAGCATTGTCAACAGGTCAGACTATCCACATATTTTACAACTTCACGCTTTAGTTTACTGAGAGAAGTAAAGCTCTCACACAGACATGCAGGAGCTTTCCAGAAACCTCTGTTTCTCTAGTTTCAGAAGAAAAGAACCGCACACCTCTAGCTCAAACTTCCGACGAGTAATGACGCTCTAAAGATCACATGATTTGTTGGACCGTATATGACCCCGTTGATCTCAGAGGAATAAAAGTCCATGTAAGAAAATGTGAAATGGATGATGAGAAAAGCCTCCAGCCTTGAGAGAGGAGATTGAACAGTATGTTCTCATTACTAAGCAGCATGACACATGCTATACCAAAGGCCGCTTGTCTACACCTACACAAACATTTCACACAGCTGTTATAACGCTGTCTGCTCATATGTGGTTGAAAATAAGGAAGTACATGTACTCAACAATTATGCTTTAGTATGGTTTTAATGTTCTTGTACTTCATTTTTCTAATCTACTACATTTTAGAGAGAAAGAGTGTTGCTTCCTCGGCTCAGACAACTATAGTTATGAATATCTTGTGAAAAGAATGAACTAAACATATAATCAGACTAAGCAATATGATGCACTGTTTTTTGATAGCCCTACTGTGCATTAAGAAGAAACAAATATTACTATAGCTACAAACTGAATCCATTTTTGTAGTCATTTGTAGTCTTTTACCTCGACTGGTTATGCTCTCCTGGTTGACCTCGCTCAGATGAGCCACGCTGCCCTGGTTTGAGCCCGACCGCGGACTGTCTCCATCCATCAATGACCAGGCCAGGAGTGTTGCCTCCGAGATCGCAAACTGCTGCAGGATACCTGAGGTCAGAGTTGAAAGGACCAACAGGGATCAATAAATATTATAGTGAAAAGTAACATAATTCTGCTGATGTCATTAAACAACCTCAGCTGTGTGTTTGAATGAGTGTGTGTATGTTTCAAACCTGCAGTGAAACGGGCCTCCTTCTCTCCGTCACTGAGGTCGCTGTAAGCATCGTTCTCCAGCCGACGCTCCTTTTCCCGCTCCTGGGTGGTGATGCGAGACTGGGGGATGCCCCCAGGACCCACCGTCGTCATGCTCCAGTTCTGCCATTCAATCATGTGAGCGACTCGACCCTGGGCCATGGCTGTGGGCTTGGTCACCCGCTCTTTCATAGTGCGTGACACACCTGGAGGTGGAGAAGACGATGAAGATGGGACATGTAGAGGCAAGGTCATGATCACAGGATATGAGGGAAGATTTGCTGTGTTGGTTTATGACACTTTTTGGATATCCAGTAGGGATTGACTGATAAACTGGTTTGTCAACTGAATGATACAATTATATATATAATGTAGTTATTTTAATAAGTTCTTCAATGAATTGTGTTTTTTTTTTTACCATTGGGCCTGACCTGCTTTTTGGTTCAAGTACATATGAATATGTGAGATCACATTTTGAGGTGTAATTAATAGCAATTAAAACTTTTTTGGCAAATACGGAAATAATGAATACACTTCAGATGTTTGAGGCAAATAAAAAGAATATTGAATATTTGCTTAAAATATAAAGTTTTGGCCAATTCAACAAGAAAAACCAGCATAGAAACATTATCAGTCAAATCCTCAATGAAATGCCTGAAGCTTAATGAGGCTCCTCATGAACATGTATAATGACAAAAGCTAAATGTAGAGGGTTGTGAAGGTGGCGTTTATGTGTTTAATGAGTCTAAAGCATCGCCTGCACAGGCAGCAGGGAGAAGAGGAGTCAACGGATGGGTCTTGTCTGATTACGGTGCATCATGGGATGGAACAGGTTAATTGGGGTGAGGTGGCTGTGTGGCATGAGTAATGAGAGGTTGGCTTGTTGACATGATCGTTTTCACACCTCTGCTGTGCTGTGCTGTGTAAGCAGAAAACTGTTCTTTTCCTCATCTCGGTCTGTCTGGGAACTTTGATTCATGCGAACACTGAATAACATACATTTTTTGACAGAATTTTAATTCCTGCTACTAAGCTAACACCATTTGCATGATATTTCATGTGACCAACACATGATGACACAAACTGTAAGTCCCTGGACGTTTAATTCTCTCTGATGGTGGCGCATGGAGATGAGATTAATGAATAAATTATGGGAATAAATTATAGGATGAATCTGTTCCACACCGCACAGTGCAGCAGCTGCACTACACTTCACTGTACTGAATACAATTCACTGCACTTAATTCAACTGCACTGGACAAAACAGCTGGATAAAACCAAAACCACTGCACTCCACTACACTGCACTGCACTGAACTCTGTTTAACACATAACATCCATACTAATACTTGTTCAGGACACCACAATTTCACAACCACTTAACATTAAAAAAACTACACTTCCCACTCATCACTCACCTTTTCTCGGCTGTATGACTGAGCATGTATGTGTGTGTGTGTGTGTTGTGTTTTTTAGGTTGAATAATTCCGTCAATGACTCACAGGGGGCCATTGACAAGTGTTATCACAGCGGGGAGAGGAAGTGATTCAGGGGAACCCGAGTGGGTACCATGCTGACTCGAGCACCCTTTGAGGGCGGAGCCAACATGGGGTCGATTTACCAGTTACAGCACAGACACACACCTGACACACCTGACAGAGAAGACTTAGCCAAAGCCCCGATGCCGTAAGCGTTTGAGTTCCTCTTGAGCCGTGGCAGGATTGATGTGGTGTCTTCCATAGACAGCTGGAGGGAGAGAAGGGATAGGCATGGAGGAGGGGAAAAGGCGTGGAGAAAAGGATAGTATGGTAGGTGTGACAGGGCACACATCAGGACAGTGAGGACGGTGTGTGTTAGAGAGGGGTGAGTGGAGAGGTGATGGAGATGTTGGATTAATACCAAAGATAAAATCTGCATTACCAAAATCCTAATTCCTATACTATTTTATTTTGTGATTCTGATTGTGCTCACTACTGTGCACCACTACATTAAACCGAAAAGATCATCTGTAAAGCCGAAGTGGAGGGGAGGGATCTTTGAGGGAGAAAGAGCTGATTGCTAAAGGGTGAGTTAAATCAAAACAGGGGAAAGAAACATAGAAAAAGAGGAAAGGTAGTCGATGAAGGAATGGTGTCACAACACTTACATTGATTCCTTCCCATGAAAATTCTGAACGTCCATGCTGAGGAAGAGAAATAGGAGGAGAGAGGGATGGGGAAAGAGTAAGAGAGTGACAGGACAGAGAACATTGACATGCATAGGAGGGGAAATGGCAGAAGACAAAAAGAGGAGGGATAAAGGGAGGTTTACATGTCACACATGCAGAGGAAAAAAAGAGAATTAAGAGAGAGAAGAGGGAAAATAATGAGGGACAGAAACACAGGATTTTCCAGGAACGAGGAAGGCAAGAGTCAAGGACCAGAATGACAGGGAGAAAGGAGGGGATTAAACAGGGATCAGTATATTTCCTTAGTTATGTATAGCAGAGTGAATACGCTACGGATGAACGAGTCCCCTCTCTTGTTACATGTGCTGCCAAAAACACTGAAAGCCAGCAGAAAATCGTGTGTGAGCAAGAGAGACAGAGATGTCAGTCCTGTGTCGAACAGTATCTGATGTCGTAGACAGACAGGGGACTGAGGCTGACAGCAGGAGTGTGTGTCTTTACATGTGTGTATATAGGCAGATGTGGGGGAACAAAGTAGATAAGCCGCAGCCTCTGCCATACAATTTCACTCTATCAGCAGGATTGACACTAACTAGACCGGGACACTGACGGGTTAGTGGCTGAGCTAAGATGTTTTCACTCCCTGTCGACCTGCACGGACAGTCAAGCTGAGAGAAGATAGACATTGTAAATAAACAGAGCTAGAAGAAGTCAGCTGGTCCCCTTCAGCTGCATTTTTTGAATTTACCAAGCCTGTCGTGACAGTGTCAACATCTTTTTCAATTACTGAGACCTACCCAGGTGTTTTACATGAAGGTATACTCTGTCTGTTTGCAGGGTAGATATCAGGCTGGAACCAGCAGTTAGTTAGCTTTCAAAGCAAAAAGACTGAAAACAGAGGGGAACAGCTCGGTTGACTCAGTCCGAAGCTTTCACAATTGACCTTCTCTCACCTCTAAGCTAACTTATTAGCACAAAATATTTTGTTAAATATAAACAAAAATGTCTTCCTATATCAAAATAGTCTAACATATAAAACATGACATTTCTAACATTATGCTTAAAGTACTTTTTAAACAAAGAGTAAGTCAAGTGAGTAAGTGTGTTTGTAAGTAAGCTGAATACAGGCTTGTATGTGGGTTTTGTTAGCTAAAATAGCTGTTTTGTTTTACCCTGTTTCCAAACTTTTTGCTAGCTACCTGGTAGCACATTCTACGTAAAAAAAAAAAGACAAATTGTTTTTTAGCTTCCCGGCTCAGCTCTCCCTACAATTATAAAAACTGTTTTATGACATCATGTGAAAAAAGAATGGTTAGGAAGTGTTTTTGTTATTACTATTTTATTTATCATTATAAGGGATTGTCTAACAATATCGCCATTAGCCACATGCAGCATATAGTCTGTTTCTCAATACCAGCCTCTTCTAGTTCTTCACTGCTTTTTCTTGTATATTCTTTGCTCTCTTCCTTGCTCTTTGACTCTCTTCTCATCTTTCACTCGCTCTTTCTTTCTTCCTCTCGCTCTGCAGTAGTGGGTGTGGTGAGAGATTTAAAACACTTGAGTGGTAGAGCTGGGCTTATTGAAGCAGCTTTTCCTATGTTCCTTCCAATAGCCCTGACATTGCTGATGTGTGTGTGTGTGCGTGCGTGTGTGTCTGTATGTGTGTTTCTTTTTTCCTCTCCACAGGACTGAAGGGCATTCTGGGGCACGGTGCATAAATAAATGATGAAATCAGTACACACAGTGCATTTGGTGAAAAGTGGAGTTCTCTATATTTTAGTCCAAAATGGCGCCTTCTCCTGTGTCCTGTCGCAGAGGGATCAGTTTGAGAGAAGGGGATCAGTAAAGCAGCTTGAGAAGAGAGGTAAGGAGAAATAGGGCAGGAGGATGTGGTGATGGTGTCCAAGAAGTTAGAAAAAGGGAAAAATGATGCCTCTGCTGTTTTGAATTGAACCAGCACTGAGCAGTGACTCTGTGAGATGGACATCTATTTAAGCAACAGACGTCACAGCAACAGCAATGAGCCAACAAAACCAGCTTTCGCTCACTCTTCCAGCTACACCATCCCATCTTGCGCATGGGAAGAGTAGTGGAAGTAAGGTGACTGACAATGACACGGCATGTGCTAATACTATTATTAATCTACGATGCTTAAGCACTGGCACTTACAGAGTGTGTGTGGGCTGAGCTGCTGTAACTTATAACAAAGCTGCATGTGAATCCTGATTTCAAATCAGAAGCAATGTTGGTTCCTCAGGTGGAGCAGCAAAAGTCCATCTCCAGAGGAAGTCAACAAGAGAGGTGAGCCAACGGGATCACTGAAGACTTACCTGCTCCCCATCCTTCTGGACTGGCACGCCATCCGCCGCTGAGAGCAGGGGAAAGAAAGAACAGCAAGAGAGGAGAAAGAAGACATATGTTAGTCTCAGTATTGGACTCAATTTTCAATCGAATAAGAAAAGGGGTCTTCCCACATAAAATATTCACTATCCTACTATTACTACCATTCATTCTCTTCTCACATGACTGGCAATTTCTTTCAATTTAATCATCTCTATCACTCCACTTCTCCTATGTTGTCAGAGTTCCTACATTCATCATTCTTTTGTACTTCCTCCAAGGCCTCTGCTGGTTCTGGATTATTGGCCATTCACTGAGTAAAAACTCAACATGGTGAAGCCACATTTAGCATCTATGCCTCTCAATTGTGGAACAAGTTGCCTGAGGAGCTAAGACATGAAACGATGCTAACCACTGTTAAATCCAAGCTTGGGGGCGCTGCTGGCCTCGCCGTTATAAGCATGTAGCATGTACAGAGTCTTGAGTTTGACCTTTCCCACGTTCGACTCTTTCTCTCATTTTCAACTCTATCCACTGTCACCTCTTTCAAATAAAGGCACAACAATCCCCTCAAAAAATAAAAAATAAATCATGGCTCAAGACTCACCTGTTGAATTGTTTTTAACCTGAATATGTTTATTCTTCTGTTTTTCTGTGTTTCTTGTTGATTTGAACTAAGCCTATTTGTTTTTGCAAAGCACTTTGGGTTGCCCTTGAGCATGAAAAGTACTATATAAATACATTTTGCCTCGCCTTTTATTAAACACCAGATAATCAACACACACAAAACAATAAAACTCCCATCAACAAAGATTCATACAAAGGATTGTTTCAAAGGTATTCAGGTCATGCAAGGAAGGTCAAATGATCAACAACAGCAAACAAAATAAACAAAAATATATTTATTTTTTTGCAGTGTAACATCCATGAATCAACACCAATATACAGAGGGAGATTACTGTATCTCCAGCTAAGCTGACTGGCATCAACCCTGTTCTTAGAAATCTTTTTGTATTATTGATAAGAGTTTTAAACTTTGTATTAATACTCTCCAGAATTGATGGTCAAGGTTCCTACAAAATATAGATATACTCCCAGGCAAGTTTACTTTGAAACATACATGGAAGTCCTTCACCCTATGATTTTAATACATAATAATTTCCTTCTTTCACACTGGAGAGAGACTTGAGACTGGTAAAACAAATTCTTCCCCTGCAGTCCTTGTGAAGTAGCAAACAAAGATCATCCTCCAATTTCCCTACTATTTCACAACACTATTATTTGTGTCCACATACCTGGAAACATTGAGACCAAAGACCTATTATCTAGACCAACTATTTTGCAACCTACCACTAACCCCTCACCACCATGACCTCCAGGATATAAAAAAAGATACGACTGAGATTTCCAATCAACCACCTGCATGTTTTACTCATTAGGCACTGCAGCTAGACGCTGAAGGATTCTTTTTTTGTGAACATAGGCATCCTTTAGTAATAGAGTCTGCTTGCCAAGATCCTTAAAGAACTTTCTCTATATGCAGATGACACCTGTATTTCAGTATTTCAGTAAATAGTACAACATTAAAGTCCGTGGCAGATCACACACAAAGCCAGCCACCCAGCGCTCTGTCGATGGGAGTCATGAGAAATACATGCTCTCAGCTGGATGAATGAACATTATTATCCCTCCTCCTCTTTCCTGGCTGTCCAAATCCTAATTAAAACATTGGTTTAATTAACAAGTCTGTACTGGTAATGGAGTTTAAACACAGCCCCAGTCTCTAGGTGCATGCTCCGTGTATCAGAGGGTCCGTGCTCTCTGAGTGTGCAACTCTCAGGGGCTTCACTCCTGTATCAGCACTCTGTGTGTCCGAGTGTGTGTGTGTGTGTGTGTGTGTGTGTGTGTGTGTGTGTGTGTGTGTGTGTGTGTGTGTGTGTGTGCTGAGCCAATCATGTTTTTCACAGCTGCATTTGGCAATCATTTGCGACTCCTCAGAGAAACACAGAGAGTTGTTGGCTGTGTGGATGTCCAGCGATGTCTGTGACCCACTGACCCAGTGATTCAGAAACATCAACTCCACTCTGTCTCTGTTGATATTACCCTTCCCTCTGAATTCCATCCAGTCGCATCAGATCACTGTGAGGGCAGGAGACGAGGGACACACTTCATTCCAGAAAAACTGACCCTCTTTACTCACACAGTAAAGGGTGTGCCAAACCCCATGCCTTGCCTCATTTGTACAGTTTATACCCTTTTTCACAAAGGGATTTTCTCAATTCAGTGGTTGAAAATATTGTAAAAGTATTATATTTCTTCAGCCTGTGATATCTAAACATTCCCAGCATTTCATCTCTCCTTTTGTTTGCCCCAGTTTTCTTCAACCTACTTTGTGTATTTTTCCCTGCAGTAAGCGTTTCCCTAAATACTTCTGGACATCACAGCTGAAGGTACATACTGTTGCTGTATGTATTAATAGTTGTTTGGTTGTAAATTAACAGGCTAAATGTGCCCTAAAAAGGGACACTCCATAGATTTTGTGTGTGTAGAAATCATTTCACTTTGCACAAGAAGTAAGCTACGATAGAGCTTAGAAACAAGTCTAGATTTTGTCTTCTGAGATTCAAGCAAATTTACATTTTGGAGAGTACAGTGCAGATATTTAACTTGTTTAACAACAATGTTTGTATAGAGTTTGAATTCATTTTGACTTACATATTCTACTGTTTGTTTACTGTCAGTACATTCTTCTATTTGTTCACTTCAGTACATTCTTCTGTGCTGGTGTCTGCTGGATGCATGTTTTTCTATTGTCTATATGATGCATTCTCTGAACAACATCTCAGACAGGAAGATACGAAGGGAATATCTTCATATTTGGGCATACATCCACATGGACTCAAAGAAGATTTGATTTGATTTTTTTGGCCAAAGGTCACTTATCTTAGAAACACATTTGGCCATAACTCAAAAATCACGAGGCTAAGCATGACACAATTTTCCACAAATGCCTTCTACGATGACGTAGTGATGTCATGTCATTAAGACTAAAATGTAATTGGTCAAGACATTACAATTGCCTGGTAAAACATTTTTTTTTCTGGCCATTATTTCTGTCCTATTCTTTAAAATATTTCCAGATGACCTGAATGGACAATGTTTAAATTAGGCACAGACATCCATTTGAAGTCAGGTAGAAATTATAAGATTATATTGTCAGAAGGGAAAAGTCAAGGTCACTGTGACCTAACATCTGCTCATCTGGGTTTATTGGACTTATTTTACTCTCCTGAAACATTAAGAGAATATCCTCTTGTTGGAGAAAATGTTCAAAGTATCCAACTCAAAATGACAAAAACAAAAGTTAAAATCTAACAAAAACCCATGATGACAACAGTTTTTCATTTATTTTTTCTGCCTGTTTGCATTAAAGTTTAATAAGGTCTGTCATTCTGTCATGCGATTTGACTGGTTCAAATACTTCTCCCTCACTTTACAATACATTTCTCAACTAAAGCAAGGAAAAATACTAGTAATTATGTGTACAGTAGTGTGTTTGAGCTGCATGGACATAACGTACTCCCTGCTATGCTGTAAACTGTTAAAAGTGTGAGTGTGATCAAGGTGTTCCTTGAAAGCATGGCAGTAATTAAGAAGCTACTGTGCATCAGGACTTGCCCTTTCCACAGAGGGTGGACAGAATTAATTCAAGCGCTACTTTCATGATTAGAAACAAACTCTGTGTGACCTCTGAGGGATTAGTCAGTCGTGTTTGATTTTTGGCACTGTGTTGTGAGATGGTTACTTATTGGCTGATACCAGGAAGACAGAGAGATGTCTCATTTTCTGCCGGGGCGGGAGGGAGTGTCCCAGATTTCTTACCCATCTGGGTTAAAAATCTGCCCTGCAAACACAAACACTATGCGAACATATATTAACGCCCACATACATATTCAGGCCTACAGCAACATGCTATATGAAGCACAGGGACCCACACGGAGTGTCACTTCCCCCCTTTTCCTCTGTTTCTTTCCGTCTCTTGGCTTACTCTGTCTCTCGTCTCTGCATCCCTCAGCTTGTTTGGCCAATTAGTAGATTAGCAGTCACTCTCTCCCCACATGAATCACAATATGACCCAAGAGTTCTCTGGACTGCAGCTGAACAAACTCAGAGCAGCAGCTTGGGGCACTGGGACACCCTGCAGCCTTTAACAGCAACTGACCAGAAACATTTAATTTGGAGTTTGTACCTTATGTAGCTGTTTGTATATTATCTAGTGTCTATTAGCATCATGTAAGATTAGATCAAAACATGTGCTGTCTGTGAAGTGAGCCACAAGGGTTAAGATGTTTTAATGATGCTCTGATTATTCATAGTTGTTTGTGCTTCTCAGATGATCTCTATATATGATGGGTCAATTGTCATTATCCAGCATCTTGGTGCTGTCTTAGCCGCTGTATGCTCTGCATTTCTTCACCCGTGTAGGTGATTTCCTGGCCTCTCAGCGGCGCAGTAAGTGAATGCGTAATTCTGCTCCTGAAGAGGCAAGCAGGATCCCTCCTTGAGGAAACAGCAACAACAACAAAGCACATCACCGGAGTTCTGAGCCAGCTTTTCTTCCCCTGGCGCGCTCCCTTCTCCCCCCGCACACACACTGCACACACACTGCACACAGCGGTTCAGCTCTGGATACCCCCCCTGCAGTCATAGGGGAGCCAGGCTTAGCTCAGCCGAGGAGAAGGAGTAAGAAGGAGTGATAAAGGGAGTGAGAGAGGGGTGGGGTGATGGAGGAGAAGGAAAAACAAGAGGGAGCAGCGCTGCCGTGCGTAACGAAGAGCCAAAGATCTGCAGCGGCTGCACTGTCAACTCCAGCTCTGACTGGAGCTGCTTGATGACTCCGGCTGAAATGGAAAGCATTTGAGTGTCATCTGTCCTTTGTAGTCCCAGTGCCCTGCAGCAATAAGAACCAGGGTGCTGGGTGCTTGTTCACCATGACAGCTGCAGTAAGGCTGGTTGCCACGGTGGGGTACCGGCTTCAATGTCAGAAGTCTTGCAGCGACATGAGCAGATGCCGAGTTACTGAGCTCCAGAGTTCAGCGAGAGCAGCTGAGGACCAGAGCCCAGATGCAGAGTGGAGGGGAAACGAAGCTAAGTGTATCTCAGGATGTTATCCACACACATGCAAAGGCTCTGACACACACTGAAAACACGCACACATAGTTACTGCCATTCATTTGACGAAATGGGATTCCCAAGCTACATGCCCCGGTCATCAGCTGGCCACACACGCCTCATTAATCTGTTTAGGCATGAATGTTGCTGCCATCCTGTGCAGGTCTTACCACTGATGCAGGGCAAAGCAGTCTTTGATGCACCCATTGTGGTAACTAAGAGTCCACGGTAGGCAGAATATTTGCAGAGGAAGCTGTAGCCTAGCATCATAAACCTTATCGCTCCTGTAAACATCCTAATAGCCTGATAAATATATAATGGACATTTAGCCCTTGTCGGAAAAAATACCGTCTCCTGATTCTGCACTTGTAGTGAGAAAGCAATCAGTTAATCCTACAGATATCGTGTGCAGGAAACTTAATTTTCTTGTGTTTAACATTCAAAGACCGTTAATAGAAAAAAATACTATTTTTCTTTATCAGCTTTGAAGTGGTTAGTAGCAACAGATGGATAACACTGAGACAATCAAAACTGGTCGTGCACTGATGCTGAGTGCATCCTTAAATTCACACACACTTTCACAAATCTACTCGCGCACACACAGGAGATCAAATGGGAGGGATGGAATTCTCTCTTTCATGGCATTATGTTTCAATTTCATAACACACTCTGTGGCTGAGTCACCCTGTTTACAGAGACACCTGCCATCATGTGCCCACACACAGGCCTCGTACTTGTGATCTGCCACATACACGTACATGGTGACAATGATATGCGAACGGGCACACACACACACACACTCATGAACATGCTAATCAATTCCTCCCCCCGATAATGATCCAGCCTTGTGACATGGCATCCAGTGACAAGGCAAACTGTGCTATTACACAGCAGAAATATGACACAGAGGAACACACACCCATAAATCTGTGGCTAGAGACTTAATGCCATGTATGCTACACTGAAGTCCTTGGATGTATGAGCACAAACACATACACACACATTCTCACACAGGTAAGGGTCATCAGGTCCCACCGTGTCTCATGGGTACTACATCACTGAGTTATTCACCTTGAATCCATTCATGTGCGCAAGGCTTTTCCAACCTGGAAAGAAGCCAATCGATCGGCCTCCACCACTGTCTGCCAGATTTTAGAGTTTGATAGTGAAATATTGGACGTTGTATCTGAATGGGTGTAAGGGCAAAGTCAGCAGGGGAGTTTTTATTTATTTAATTAAATGGCGGGGGAAACTGTGTCTGTAATGTGGCAAATTCAAATTCAAATCCAAACGTTCATCCTCTTGGCCTCTCCTGACACATCTCTTTATATATAAATATCATTTTAAAGAAGTGCACCATAGTAGCTCACCTGGTAGAGAAAACATCCTTATACAAGACTGGACCTCACTACAGCTCTGTCTCTCTGCAGCTTCACTTGATGTCAAAAAAACAAGTCAGAGCTCTTAAATATTGAATGTTGTCAAAGATCAGCTGCTGTTTTTAAAGCTTTACGTCCTTCAAAAAGCCTAAAACTGGCTCCATTTCGATTGAAATCTGGGACTGTTTGATCAAAAAACAAGCAAACAAGATTCTGAATATGACTAAATATGTGGTGCCAGCAAACACACACCGAATGGGCAATTAGTGCTTTTTTGAATCAGTGACTGGAGCGTCAGCAGTGGCTTCAGAGAGTAGAGAGAGAACGTGCTTACAGGCAGTACAAACAGGTGAGAGTTGTCTTAATGTCCCACATTCATATCTAGAATTTCACCACTGCAGCCTGAACCATATCAGTTATCTCTACACTGCACACTAAGCCCTAATTAAACAGAGATCACTGTTCCCAGCACTCTCAGGTATAGTGCAGTCTGGTAACTAGATCCAGCAAACTGCCTCTGAAGTGAAGCTTTTAGTACAATAATGAGTAATCCCATTATCAACGCTACATTTGGAGATGTGATCAGAATCATACAGCTGTTACAGAATTACTAACACTGTAATGGGCAGATGAATACATTTGTTCTCAGTGAGGCATGCATTAGCTGTGAACTACACACACATGCTGAGTCACTGGCAAAAAATATGGTTTGTAGTTATTTTGCAGTAGATCTCTTTGCCGCTCCTCGCCGATGAGGTGAAGTAGAATGTGCACCGCCCAATGACTGCTTCTCAAGGCCTTTGCTCACCGGAGCGGTGATGGATGCCGACATCTCATCTACTGTACATCACTGTCTGTCCGTCCGTCTTCACCTGACCTACTTACAGTTGGGGTGGTGGGCAGCTGATGTTTAAAGGTTTGGGTCCAGTAGCTTCTTGTAAATCCGTTTAAAAACAATCCCAAATTAACCATTCCATAAACAAAATGCTGTACCTACTGCACTGGAATGATGACTTTGGATTTGTAGACTGAAACAGTTTTAAACTAAACACTCTCAAGGTGAACGTAAGGCCTAACTAATTTTACTCCAATCTTCATTTTCCTATCTGTTCACCAAACCATATATACACACACACACTCAAACTGAAATTTGCAACATGCTTTTTTGTTTTAGAGTTTTTTGTAGTCTGAGGCTTTTAAAGTTTAACTTACAGACCCAGAATTTCTAAGTAATGTGAACAATGAAAGGGTAAATAATTTTCCTTTCAAAATTAAGAGTGTTACTTTTCCTACAAAATGTTGCTACTTCAGTCTGTTTTGTCACGTCAAATATTAAATCAAAACAAAGCTAAATGTACTGTTTCCTACATTTGTAAGAGAAAAACACTTTGTCAGGCTGCTGGGCACAGACCTGTGAAACTGAGGCATTAATCTTTGCTAAGAAAGGTACTTTAGAAGTGTATGAGTACAAACGGATATCAAAGTCCGACCACAGAGTACTCTCCCAGATATGACGGAGCCAGGAGTGATAGTGTTACAAGCGGGGCAGACAGCTACATCAGGGCTACTCCCATACACAGACAGATCTGGTCTTGCTTCTCCTCCTGTTGATCCCTGCTTGGCAGCGTGGACTGCAGTTGAGAAGGCCGATCAATAGCACACACTAAAGCCATTCTCACCCAGGATAAACACAACCCCGCCTCTACACCGGCAGCACTGCTACCGATTCAGCTTCTCACAGACTCAGACACACACGCTGCTTCTTAAGTCTTCATCTTCTTAAGTGTTGCTCATTTCCATATGCATGCTGGACTAAAGCTCAAGAAGTAAAGGATAACATTTGCAAACTGAAGAGACGTTGATTAAAAAAATCTCCATAACATACCACCGACGGACTACAATGCACTTCATCCCTCTTCATCAATTATCCCTGATTTGAAAATGTAACTCGCAGCATTATTGAACCCTTAAGCTTCTTTCACTTCGCTTATATCACTTATACAAAAAGAGTATCAGTGTTCAGCTCCAAATCAGATGAACATGACACCTTTCCAAAGCCTTCATTCACGTAATATTCAGCAGCTGGAGTCGCTGGGCTTGTATTAGGTCTCCTGTCTTGACCTGTAGTGTTGACAGAGTATCCCAATCTCCTCCTCTGCTCTGCAATGTGTCAAATCCCGTCTCTGCCTCTGCTGTATTCAGTTCACACCTGCCTTCCTAACTGTGTCATGTAGTGCTCAGTCTGCAGCACTTGCATAGTCTGTATATATTTTTAAAAACCTCTTCATCAAGTATTTAAATTTGGTTATAAAAAAAAAAGATGCACATGTACACATGAGATCCTATCTGTAGCCTGTGTTGAACAGTCATGACCCCTGTAGAGGTTATGCACTTTAGACACCGGCGTTCAGGCCAGGGCTTTGCCGTAAATATGTTGAAGAGCTGCATGTGCTAAGTGGTTCATTAATATTTAACACTAGAGGAAGGCTTTGTTTATTTTTACCTTTGAGTGTGAGTCATACTACATAGGATGCCAGACCTGCATATTGACTGCAACATGTCTGACTATCTGCAAGCAAACAACTGATTGTTTAACTGAAATGATTTTTACACAAACATTCCCCAGTGTACCTTTATAAGCAGCAGTGCTGGTGTTAATCTACTTAAACTGTCATTCAAAAGGCTCCTCACCTGAAAACTCGCATCAATCCCACACACCCTCCGCTGCACGTATATGCCCCTCCCTCTCCCCTCCTCCCTGCCTGCCTGCCTGCACTGAAATTCTTCCTCTTTATCCCGCTCTATCCCTATTACTCCTGCAAATAATAACTGTACAAACGCCCCTGACAATGGCATTATCCCATTTCTCTTTTTCCTCTCTTCCTCCAAGCCACATCGCCCTATAAATAAGCCTATCCTGGCGTTTCCCTCTCTGCCTCTCTGTTCCATCCCTCTCTTCCTCCTACTCACACACATATACATACTGCCAAACAGCATCATAAATCAAGAGCTGGGAGGAGGATGGGAGGGAGGGGAGTTGGGGGATGCAACCACACACACACAGTGGCACATTTTTAACACATATTGTCTCTGACATCTTGCCTGTATGCTGTGTGTGCACCCTCTGTTAGTATACATCTATAGCTTGCTGATAGGCTACATTGAAAGACAAACAAATACAACAGAAACACACACACGTTCAGAAAGCTTGTCTGGAATATCATCACAAAAAAAAACACCTCGCTCCTGGCATGGCAAGACCCCCATCCTCCTCCTCACCACCCCCTACCTCTTCCACAAAACCCCCCTCTAGCCTGCAACGAGAAAGAGAGAGAAGAAGAGAAGCGGTGCTTACTCAGTCTCCTGGAGCCAATGCATCCCATGGTGTATTCACAAAGGCCCTGGATACAAGCGTGGAAGTGTTACCCAGACACCGTGCATTCTCCCTCTTGCTCCTGCGACTCTCTACCTCTCAGCTCTAGCTTCTTTTTCTTGCTTTCCTGCGCTCTCTCCTCTTCTCTCTCCCTTCTGCTGCGCTTACTCGATCACACACAATTCTCTCTCTCTCTCTCTCTCTCTCTCTCCTCTCTCCTCCCTCTCTCTCTCTCTCTCTCTCCCTCCCACTCCCTTTCTCCAGTGCAGTGTCTTAGAAGAGATCCGGTTAGTAAGTCAGTATGCCTGGGGGAGATAGATTAGGACTAAATAAAGATGTAAGGCATTAGTTAAAAAAAATAAATAAAGGATTTTTTTGAAGGTAGAAAAACCCTGATATGTTACAATGTTATATTAGGTTAATGACATCCATAAACAATCCCTAAAACCTAAATAATCTGGGTTTGTGGGATTCACAATGATTACACAATTGGTCAATTTGTAAAGCACACAAACCGAAACAACCACAGGCATTAATCTAATGAGACAAAAACAATAATTAGCCTGGCTGTGTGTGTATTGGGTTGCCACTACAGGATCAATATCACAGTGCTGAGAGTGCCGGCTGCCATTGTTGTAGATATCTCTGCACTGCTGTAATATTGTTGAGCTAAAATGGGGGATTCTCTGTCTCTCTCTCTCTCTCTGTCTCCCTCTCCCGTGTGCGCTCCGCCTAACAATGCACTGCAGCGGTTTCCTCGCGCCTCTCCTCTCCTCATCCCCATCTAGCCCTCAATCACCCTCCCTCACACTGATCGCTGAGGGAAATGCACGCACACACGCCAATACCAAACAATCCCGAGGAAGAAGGAAAAAAAAAAAGAGAGAAGAGGGTTTTCCTTCACACTCAAGCTGGTGCCGAGTCTCCACCTCTTCTCTCTGTCATCTCTCTGTATTGATCCGCCCATTAGTCATCTCTGCACCTATATCTTGTCTCCTGTTCTCTGAATCGCATCACCCCTTATTTCCATGTTGCTACCTCCACCCCCTCTTTTACGGGGAATAATAAGAGGAATAACTCTTTATCTACATCTTAGTATCCCTCCTCTCACTTGTATATTTACTCCTGATAGCAGCACATCTAAATCGTTTACCTTCCCTCATACTCCACCTGTCTCACTTCTGTTGTATATTTACATAGCTTCTTATCCTTCCTGCCTGTCTTTCTTACTCCTCTGACTCTTCCTCTGTCTAGCCCCACTCTTTGCTGATTACAAATTTATGTGAGCTGTGTCTATAAGTGTTTGCCCAGCAAGTGACGCAGGAGCAGTCAGGACAAGTGAAGAGGGTATGTGTTTAGGGGGTCGGTATGTTTATGTGTATGTGTGTGTGTGTGTGTATATTTTTGATCACTCATGCTTTGTTGACTTTACATAGATTGGACGAAGAAGAAAGAGATGGGGAGAGCCATGACAGATGGAAGGACAGAGAGACAAAGACATGGGCAGATGGGGGGGGGGGGGGTGATGGGACAGCAAGGAACAGTTGAGTCATGTGCGAGAGAGGTGTGGAGACGATGCTGTGTGAAATAAAAATTAGCACTCCAGAACGGCCTGAGGACAAAGACTAAACAATCAGATCACTCAGTTTAAACATGAAACCGAAGAATAGATGTCGAGGCATGAATGTGATTTAGACACAGAGGCTTTTAAAGTGGATGTTTGACCTGCTAGACATAAATCGTACATAATCCAGCCAATCCCTGCAATGTGGGTTTTAAATATAGATGAACGTCAGCTCGCTCTGATGGGTTCCCACAAGAGAGGAGGCTATAGGTGGCTGCAGGGGTCAGCTTCAGGGGATGGGGGGGGGGTTGGATGTTTGCTCACATCGCTTGAACGTGGTTGGAAAAGGAAAACAAAACTCATCCCTCTGATATGTGTGATTTCAGACTGAGTATGTTGCCTTCAACTCCTTGTCTCTCTCTCTGGCTTTCAATATGCCTCCATTTGTCCATCACTTTGTGTGAATCACCACCAAGACGTCTTTATTATCCTCAGTCAATCTCTTACTTCTAACTCTGTCATTCTAAATCAAGCTTTTAGCTTAAACTCTAAGTTAATCAAGGCTTGCCTGTCCTGATTTACTTTCATTCAATTCTTTCAATTCAATGTTGTTGTTTTATTTTTATTTTGCATGAATGTAGGAGATAATATTGATCAACTGAGCATCATCAGATAAAAAGAAAAAGAAACACAAAATAGAAAGGGGAAAGAGTAGTTTTAAAGTTATTTATAAGGTTATTCCTTCATATTCATTCATTCGTCCGTATGAAAATGAGTGGGTTAGATTTCTTAGACCGAAAATAAATCTTATTTTTATTCAAAAAAATAATCTATAAAAGTTTTGATAATAAACTAAATCTTCTTGCATCCATAACTATAAACCGCCTATAACCTGATGGTTAGAGTATCTGAAAGAGAAGACTATGCTGCATAGACTGAGTACTTAAATGATTAATTAACGTGGATACAATTATTTTATCTAAATAATCAATGTCAGTTAGATATAACGCATGCTTCACATGAATACTATATACTGTACTTTGACAATGTGATCTATGATAAGGACCGTCAGTGCACGACAAGGTCAACCACAGAGGGAAGAATTTCTTGACACTAATCTCGCTCATGATACATGGGCCATTCACAAAGAAGACTGCTTCTCAGCGCCTTTTGTCCCCTTCTTTCTAACTCTTACACACAGACACACAGACACACACACTGGTTTACACCTATTCTAACAAAGCATGTACCATGATATGAAACCACCTTTAACACACGACACAGACAACTTCTATTATGTTGCGTCAGTGCGTCTCTTGCTCTCTTATCTGGGGTGACGCTCCTGCTCTGAATTTAAATGCATCGGTACCTGTTTAATATTATCTCGGGGACCCACACGCACTTCATTCCTGTAATCAGTGACTTTCATGTACCTGTCACTATCTGTCTATCAGCTCCTGTCTGTTATGTAGGTTGCAGCTCAAGGATAATGAATACCAGCTTTGAAACCTTCTCGTTCAGGCACTCTAAAGATGTTCTACACTGATGAGTAAAAACGCCTGTTTTCAAAGTCATTCTAAAGGTAGGCAATTGTCTTTCAACTAGGTCAGACTGGTTTTAAGATTCCAATTTTCCATTTCATATTGTCTTTACTACACCGCTGCCCACTGCTTTCAAAGTATCTTCATAATATGCTCGACTAACATTTTGGCCAGAGGTCCTCTTCAGATAAAAAATGATCACCTGAAGAAGACCTCCGGTCGAAACCATGTGATGATTTAAAACCTTTTTTGGAATTAGAGCAACCTATCTTCTTCCTCAGTCTGCTGGTTTTGCACTTCCCTGCACCTATGTGATGTGCGTATAACTACCTCCTTTTTTTAATTAACTTTGTTTAACCCAGTTGGAAACAGAGTTTGGGGGTATTAATAGTAAATGCTTTGGTCTGGCCGTTCACCATTTTCAGCTTGGGTTCTCATGCAGACATATTTTTTTTTGTCTGTGTTTGTGTTTGTGCACTCTGGTTTCTATACAAAGCAAAAGCTAGCGTACAGGGAGTTCCCAACTCTCTTTCATTATTTACAACCCTGTGTCCTTCTCTCCTGAAATTACCCTACATTCTCGCTCAGTCCAGCCCTCCTTGTCAAGACCCCCTTCAGTGATGCCCTGTTTATCCCCAGTGATGCTTTTGTGTCCATCCTCCTCATCAAGCCTATCGCTCAGTATCTCTGGGTTTTCACTTCACACACCCTGCTGTCCTTTATCACATCTCTAGCTGATGTGGATTTGCTTGCTGATAGAGATTCTTGAGCAATCTTCTGCCCTCGAGGCATTTCAGTCTGGCTGTGCAGTAGACGTGCCACAGTAACATGTGTCAGTCTGACACCTGCTGGGGGAGCTGGAGAACTGCACACTAACGCTGGCTTTGAATTAAAGCCAGTTTGGCAGCAGAGAGGATTTTCCTCTGAGTGCTGAGTGATCAGACCTTGTTCCCTCACAAATATGCAGGTTCCCATCCCCTCTAAAGTATGGCTGGAATCTTTCCTTGATGGCTTAATGGTTTTGTTTGTGGGCACAGCTGTCTACCTAGCTCTTCCATTGCAGGCTTCACTGAGAGGAGAGGTGTGCATGCTACAACAACTTGCCTCACAACTTTTTACCATTACATCCCAAAGACTACATAGAACAAAACCTAAAAAATGACGAGAACAGTGTTTTAGGTACTGAAAATAGAACTTTGTCCATAAGAGAATTTGGCATTTATTGGTTATTAATTAATATTAAGGATTGTTTTAAAAATTAGTGTAATGTAATGTGTTGACACAGTGTATAGCAATGACACTTAACTTCAACTCTGCTCTCTTTACAGTTCAATCATTATCTAAATAGGGAGAGTAGTGTTCCTTTTACATACACTTCTCTATGTACTTATTTGTTGCTTCTCTTTAATTTATTACATGTGTATTTATTTATTTGTGTTTTATTATATGGAATTTGAAACGCTTGAAAATAAATTGCCTTTTTAAGGGTGTCATAAGAGCAAGAGACTGCCTCTGGACACATCAGAAATGATCCAAGACTTTCTTTGAGCACTGGGGAATACGGAGCAGTCACTCACTCATGAGCAGTGGGAGGTAGAAAAGCAGGCGTTAGAAGAAGGGGAAGGAACGAGTGGAAATGAAAGTGCAGCACACTGAGGGTAGACTTAGAGTTGGAGAGATTGAGGGAGAAAAGCGGTGAAAACTGCATGATGAAAAAGGGAGAGGGAAAGAGAGAGAGGAAAAGAGAGAAATATAGCACCTTAAAGAGGGAGGGGGAGAGGGACCGTTCATTCCAAGGTTTGGCTGCATTCCAGGCTGTCTGGCTCTGATTCTGACAGCCTCCTGTTTTTTGTTTTTTTTCATTTACCTCCAGACTGACTGGACCCCAGAGCTGCCTTCTCCCTGCCTGATGCAAACTTTCCAAACTCCAGGCATCATTGTGTCATCTGATGTTTGCAGCTGGCTGAAAAAAGGGCAGAAGAGGATAACACGTGTTAGTCCAGCTTCTTACAATCTTCACAAATATAACAGAAAACTAGCTCATGCATTGAC